CATAGGAGTAGGTAAAGAATTCATGAACAGGACTCAAACCGCACGGGAAATACTTCCCAGAATCAATAACTGGGACCACTTCTTATTAAAAAGTTTCTGCATGTCAAAAGAAATCTCCAGCATAGTGAAAAGAAAACCCACAAACTGGGAAAAGATTTTAGTGAACTCTCTCTCAGACAAGGGACTCTTATCTAAAACATATAAAGAATTAAAGAAACTCAGACCTCCAAAATTCAAAGATCCAATCCAAAAATGGGCATCTGAGATGAATACGCAATTCTCAGATGAAGAAATGCAAATGGAAAATAAATACATGAAAAAATGCTCATCATCATTGGTCATTAGAGAAATGTAAATTAAAACCACACTGAGATACCATCTCACTCCTGAAAGAATGGCCAGGATCAAGAAAACCGACAACAAATGCTGGAGAGGCTGTGGGGAAAAAGGAACTCTCCTGCACTGCTGGTGGGAGTGTAGACTGGTACAGCCTTTGTGGAGATCTGTCTGGAGATTTCTCAAAAAGTTGGGACTGGATATCCCATTTATTCCAGCTATTCCACTTCTAGGCATATTCCCAGAAGAACTGAAAGCATCATACCACAGTGATATATGTGCACCTATGTTTATAGCAGCACAATTTGTAATTGCCAGATCTTGGAAACAACACAAGTGTCCATCAACTGAGGAATGGATAAAAAACTTGTGGTATTTCTATACAATGGAGTATTATTCAGCTATAAAGAAGGATCACATTGAGATATTTATCAATAAATGGGCGCAGCTTGAGACCATACTCATAAGTGAAATAAATCAATCTCGCATGTGTGAATACCGAATAGTTTCCCTAATATAAGTAATGATTCAAATATATAAAAATATGTGGTAATCATGATTCCCCATTAGGTGGCCTTGAAGCCTTATAAAGTTTTCACTCATTAATTAGAAAGGCTTTATTCTGGGCTTCTTGATATGGAAATATTTGAAGCTAGAGTATATGAAGTTTTATCCAAATATTTCAAGGAAAATACACTATGGTAACTACTATTAAGTCAGGTTATATGGTGGTGAAGTACTAGGTTGTTGAAACAGTCATGCTGTGACCTCTATTGTTATATTGTTATGTCCTGTTTTATCTCAATCTCCCCCTTATTGTTTTAAAAAAATTACTTAGTCATTTCTTATGTTTGTCTTAATTAAAGAAAAAATTCAAAAAATTAGGATATATAAATAGTAACTCTTTTTGATTTCCTATTAACTTGTTGTGAAGTCCTGTAGTACTCCCATGATCTTGTTTTGACTGATTAGACTCTGTTCCATTCTATATGGTAGTATCAAGTTTGAAGACATAGGCAACTACTTTGAAGACAATAAGATTCACTAAGATACCCATTCTGGTTTGACTATTGTCTTCTTTGGAAGTCCTGTAATGTTTACAATGCCTAAGTTTTATTGGTCTTGTTCTCTACTGTTTTGTCCAACTTTATAATATCTAATGAGATAGACAATTCTTTTTAAGGAAACAAGGGACAACGTTGATAACCATTGTTGATAAACTTGTACTCTGTTCTACACCATGTGCTATGTCTATCCTTGGTATTGACTGACAGCTTTGTTTTGCCATATTTGACTGTATTCTCCCCCCCACCACCACCAAAAAAAAGTAATAAGCACTAAGGAGTAATAAAATCCAAAATGTGTAAATTTTGTTGGAAAAAAGAGAGGGAAAAAAAAAAAGAAAAAGAGCTCTAACGGATATAACAGCAAGTGTGTTTAGGGGTGTTAAATAGCTGACTATATCAATGTTTTTGGATCATTGAACACAGCTGTTTGCAGTCTCCCTGTTTGAATGTCCACCTTGTATTCTTTGATACTGTGATTTGAGGAACTATTTCCAAGATGATAATATGTTATCTACTAACAGGTGATTTCTTACTGTTATGGTTTTTGTTTGTTTGTTTGTTTGTTTTGTTTTTTTGTAGTTCTGTATTACGTGTACCCTTACACCACTTTGGTTTGTTGTGTGGTTTTGTCTTTTTCCTCTTAAATAAAAAAAAAAAAAAAAGGAAACCTTATGCTGCCCAGCCGGTGTGATTTGCTCTTGGAGCACTGTGGATTTTCTGGAGTAACCCTAACTCTGTTTACAACACTACTGGGACTGTTGGATACTAGAATCATATGTTGAAAACTAACTGTTCTTGCAAATCCAAAGACAAGGAAAACACAGTCACTTGACTGAAAGGGTCAGTTGCTGCCCATTTCTCAAACATCCACCTTTCTAGGCGCATGTTAACTCCGCAGAAGTGCCATGATCTGCTCAGGCATATCTTAACAGTAGATTGCTCCATTTCTGTGTCAAAGGCAAGTAGAGGTCTTTTGGCAACACCCTATGGTGGATTACCTGAAGTTGTCCAATTGTATTAGAGATGAGCACTTTACAAGAGCATAATGCACGATGCTGCAGCTGGGTTAAGGTAGCACACTTAGATTTTGTACTATTACAGTCTCATTTCTTGCCTAATTTAACCCCTTATAAAGTCTTTCTTGATTTTGGAAATATTTACAAATTAATGGGAGTGATGTAAAATCAGAAATACAATACCAAAAAAAAACCTGAAAAAAAAAGGATACTCATGTTTACTCTTCTTCTTCTGAATTTTAAAGTAAAAAGACAGCAATATGAGGAAGTAAACAATGTTCTTATTGTCAGGAAGAATGAGACTGGCGATAATTTGGTTTGGGGCAGAGGATTCTGCTGCTTTCTGAAATTTTGAGCCATAAAATTTAAAGATAGATGCAAAACTCAGTAGTAATAAACTTTTCTATGAGGGAACAATTACTAGAAAATTTTCCTATAATTACAGGAAAAAATATCATTTTTCGGTTTTTAAATAATTTTTCAAAAATTGCCTTGAATTCCAATGTGTAAAGGTGGAAAACTGTGACTCCCTCTTGAGCTGTAGAAACTCAGCTGATTAGCATTGTGTTTCTAACATGAACAAAAAGATTTGGAAAGAAACAATAAAGGGAAAAAAAGATAAATGAGGATATGTGATAGTACTAGCTTTGAGGGATAATATTAACATAGGTTTGTGTTTTCCATCAGTGTAGATCCCCAACAGTGTTTTATCTGTCCCAACCTAGCTTTCCTTTTTTGTTTCATTTGTCTTTCTTTCTTTCCTCCCTCCCATCCCTGTTTTTCTCCGGTAATCCGTCCCTCTATGTACTTTCTTGTCTATGAGGATGTTGAATTGTATGAACCCCATCATCAACTGTCTGGAACACTTAGGAAATACCGCAGAGATACAATGCCCTCTTCATCGCAAGGAGAGATGTCCATGGTGAAGCCCTCCTATCAGATCACTCAAAGCCAAACTGCATGTGTCCAGTCAACTCTTTAAAAGCTTAGTCAGTAAAAGACAGGCATTTTGTGGATGAGGACACGATATAGTTAAGTCTAGTGATGAAGCATGTTCAAAGCTGATACCCTAGGCAGTTGTAGGAGGAAATAATTATCCACTGGTTTAGACAGAAAAGCAGAGTGCCGTCTCATTCTCATTCAATGTCTGTGATTGAATTCAACATCTGGATTCCCTGAATGTCCACAAGAACAAGGAGAGAGGAGAATGTGTGAAACCCGAAAGGGTTCCATTATGCATGCCACTCCATAGCTTGGAGTGGAGATGATGGGTGACTTTCCTGGGAGTCCAGTGATACCTGGCTGATCTCATTCCCATTGTCTTCTGCCTGGTACCTTCAGGCTTGGAGGACTTTGCTAGAGACTGGAAGGGATTCTGCAGGTGTCAGAGGTGTGCAGTCCACAGGAAATTCCAGTCAGTACAATTCTGTGGTGTAGACACTGGACAAGAGATATTCCCACTGATGAGAGCCTTGGAGACCCACAAGTGCTGCCCACATGAGACCCACTTGTCACTGAGAGGGAGATCAAAGTACGTATTTGGCAGCAATGGGAGGGGTATGAAACCTCCGCACATGTCTGTAATACCAAATCTTTTCATTTCTTATGCCTGTCTACTCAACTATACCTCAGTCGGAGAAGAAAAGTTTAAGAAGTAGGGTGGAAACCTTGTAGAAATAAACTACATTGACATTCTCTGCTGTATCACTAAGCCACCACAGAAGGAGTTATACTCATAACTGAGTGTAGGATGGAGTTAGAACTTGACTGAATTGCCTCTGTAGGCTCAGAGTGAATGGAGCACATGGAGTGTTTCCAAGCTGAAGAGGAAGAACTAGGCGTGCAGTGGAACATGGCTGAATGCATATGTTACTGAAATCACATTTGTGTCAGGCAAATTGATCTTCTGTTCATCAAGTCTTATGCTATTTAGGGGCATTTACAATAAAACCTGCACTGTGACTCAAAGTATTGGAAATGTTAGCTGATTTTCACAAATGGTTTGAGAGTTAACTGGGCTTTATGGTATGAGTGGAATGACTTCACACTTTGATGATCACAAATCCAATTAATGTACTCCCATTAATTCACTGTAAATGTAAAATAAATTATTAATCATCTTAGTTTCAAGATTAGTTTCTCTTAATTGTGAGAATTGTCTTTTAATTGTAGTTTATTGGTACATGTGTGCAGTAGTAGGTTCCTTGTGTGTATTTGATGTGTGAATGTAACACATCCCAATTCCTTTTTTTTATCCTTTTTTCATTTTCTCCTCCCTCTAAGTTAGAAAATTGGAAGTAGAGAAGTAGATCCTTTTCACAGAGAAACAGTATCAATTGATATCAATTACTCAACTGTAGTGCTATATTTTGGGGAGGTTTCAATTAAACAAGGGAAAGCAATTTCGACACATTGACTTCTAATATTTTGACAATATGAAATATTCAGTTTTTTATTTTTTGAGAAGGGACAACTTACACCATTACTCCAAAGCATACACGAAATTATGTAAAAACAAAAGAATCTTTCCAACACATGGATCATTAAGAGGCATCTCAGAATACTAGGCATGGATATGGGTTTAGGATTGCCTTTCATGGGTGATTTGGTAATTTAAGACCCTTAGGAAAGTGTGAACTTTATCAGTATCCCTGCGCAGGCAGTGGCACAGTTGGTAAAATGTTTGCCTTGAAACTCTTGCATCAGTTGACATCAGGAGCGGGAGTTCATTCCAGAGAGCATGTTCCCCATAGTCTTTGAATTGAAGGTCAACCTAGTCACCAAAGAGAGAAACAACATATTGCTCACAATATTGATACTTTTTGTCTTTGATCCTTTTGATTATTAGGACTTGAAAATAGATGACAATGCAAACCTTTGGCCAAAGACATTGGTTTTCATGTATCTCACATAGGATATAGTAAAGCTATTAGCCATCAAAAAGCTAGAAACAGAAGCCATCTGTCCTTTTCCTGCAATGCATGTAATGGCAGATGAAGTGAGCTCCTGTAGGAGCAGAGAAATGAACATCCAGAAAGGTGCTGATGGGGTTTAGGTGCATTTGACACACAGACAATACGGTGGACAGTTGCCATGTTTTCCCTCAAGGAATGCTGACATTTCCTGAAATTTGTTCCAGATGACCCCATTGCATTTTATCTCTTCTGATAGCTCACTGTGTAGTTTTGTTGCTTATTGTTCTCATAGTGTCTAGAGAAATAAACAACTTAGAGATGATGAGCACTTGGTGCTTTAAGGTACACTCACTCAACCAGGCCAAAGAAGATATGAGTGTCTCAATCCATCCAAAAATGTCCCTTACCAGGTTTCAGTGAGGAGCACCTGCTTTCCCTTGAGACACTGGAATTAACATCTGAGAGAAGGAGGGTACAGGCAGAAGCCCTGCCTGGCAGGAGTCCGCTGTATGAGTGGGGACAGGATGCTGCTTCCAAAAAATGCAGCTTAGTGCAACATAAAATCAGTGGGTCTGCTAGGCTCACAGCCTCTACGTGAGAATATCCAGAGATTTCTGGGACCTGAATCCATCCATAAGTCTGCAAAAATGTCAGGAAATGCCTAAAACTTGTAAGAACAAATCTGGGTAATGGCAGACCCTCAACTACTGAACTGTCTCCTAAAGCGTGCAAAAACTTTTTATTTCAATTGAAGGAGTGTTTGTCTATGCGCACCTGTGTCTATGCTGATTACCTACATTTGTTTTGTTTCTGTGGGCTCTTGTTTTTACTTTTGTTGTGTGGTTAATAACAGAAAATTTTCTAACAAACTGTCAAGATACAAACAAGAACAAATGAATAATTGAGAGGAGCAGTGAACAGAAGGTGAAGCATTCCAGAACAAATTAGTGATAACTGAATTTGATTCATAGTAACGAAGGAAATAAGCTAGAAAAAAGTGTTTAGTTTCTATTTACCTCAGTTAATATATTCGTTCCATTATAGTGTGTTTATGAGTTGCAGGTAATTGTCTTTCATGATAATGACAACACGGTGCTATTATCAAGTGCTTAGAACATAAACAGTGAAATACATCATTGCTTATGTTACCATTGGTGTAATCCTGAATTTTTATTTTCATGAATAATTCTTTCTGAGAACTTCATAAAGCTGCTTGCCTGTTACTGTGCTGTTGTTAAAATTGTCCTACATGAATGGAGAGGTGATTTAGTAAAGCTATGACAAATTGACTGAGGTGATTTAATGCAACAGTATGAGTTTTAACTTACAAACCCCAAAATAGTTTAAGATAACACTGTATGAATTATAAAATAAAGCACATTTCAGGGAAAAATTCACCTTACTGGCTTAAAGTTTTCATGCTATGGCCTTTTCATTGTCTTCAGTATTGCGGATGTTGGACTTACCTTGCAACCGATATGGGTATTTTCCTTTCCCACTAAATACAGTACACATGTGATTGTGACTAGCTTGGCCTGTGAGTATTCTGCAAGATGAGTAAACATGTCTGCTGAATTTCAACCCCATAAAGCAGTGATGCCTTGCAATATAATCAGTGTATGCCCAAACATCACCTGATCACTACTGGCTTTCTTCTCCCTGCTTGGGTGTACAAGGTGCTTTTAGATCATGAACAGAAGCAATTATCCTGGCCCCCAAGGTTTCACCGAAGTTTGGTGTGAGCATAAAACAGAATTTCAGTGTTGGAGTCCTAGAACACTTTGAGGGATACACTTCTTTCAGGTGTCCTTGTGTGAATTTCTTCTCAGGAAAAATGTGTAACTAACCATGAAGAGACAGTCCTGGGTACTTCCTGCAGTGGGGGTGGCCCCCTCAGCAGTGAGAGTCCTGAGACCCCTTGAAGTTGGTTCCTACACTGCTGCCTATGCCTCTGGCTCTGTGGATTAGCAGACTGGAAGGTGTAACATTCAGGCTAAATGTTATTTCTGCACAGCAAGGGATGTCACTCTACTTCCTAATGCAGCAGGGATCCGGAAAACCAAGGAATCATCAGGAGCTACCCACCTGCCTAGCGATTATCGTCAGCCCCTGTAGAAGTTGCCATATTTTTTGCTGTATTAACTCAGCTTTCTGCATGAAACTGAGAGGAATATTTGGCAGGTGAACTCCTTGGGCCTTCATGTGACACATAGCGTCTTCCCAGGAGAGCATCAAGTGGATCATCAGGATAATCAGGTCCCTCTCCTGATCACCAGGTTGGAGCACGCCATAAGAGAAGTGAGACAAAGGTTAGTTACAAGTGACCTTTGTTCACAAAGGCCAACTGAAAAACTGATAGAAGTTTCCAGTATGTGTATAAAATTTTTCTATATGTCATAGATGCTATTTTGTGCTTTGGTACCAGGGATCGAACTCACGACATTTGTTGGGTTTGCTAAACTGGTGCTTACACCACAAAGCTAAACCCTAACCTTATAGATGCTTTCAAAATTTTCAAGTTAAGGAAAGTTGCCACAGTAAAACAATCACATGAAAGTAGCTGATAAGAAGAAATATTTTAACAGGATTTCTAAATGATAATTTCACAACATTGTTTTCCCTCTAGAATTTTGTGTTTTAATTAAAATCTTGTTAACACTGTGTCTATGGCAGAAAATCCAAAAAGTATGGTTCTAACAAGAGAAAATAGAGCATGGATAAATTGTGAAGGTTTGATAGGTTTGCTCTGCTATCGTCAGAGCAGAGGCCAGAGTCGCACCTGTGAGCATGGTGTCATGATATCAAAGGGTACAGTTGCAGTGGGGTGACTCTCAGTGGAGACAGGGCCAGGGCCCAGAGCAAGTGTGCACTGAAGGAGTGGGCACTGCAGGAGCAGAAGCAGAAGGGGAGAGAAGCCAGGGCCATAGAGATGGTGCAGGGTAGCAGGGTCAGTACTGGAACCACTCACCACACATGTAGGAGCCATGCTACCCTGCACTGGGTAAACTGCACACGCGTTTCTCACATAAAATCCTAGATGTGGGTGTTGGTTGAGGTAAGATCATCTGCATTTCCAGCTTACAGATCTTGCAGTGTTTATTCAGCACTGGATTTTCCTAGGGGATTCCAGGTACAGTGTGATTGCCTCACTGCTCCCTATCCAGCTGCTCTGCTCTGCAGTGTTGCTCCTGCCACCACAGACCACAGCGCCCCTTAGAGCCTACAGCCTGAATAGCCCGACACTGGCTCCTGGTTGCTGGTGGTGCTGTGCAGGACTCACCTTCATCTTCAGGGTCTCTTCCTTGTCACCCGGGGTGGCGATTGAGGCTGTGTGGCACCTTTTCCTTAACACTGAAAAGATGTCTATGTCCAGAGAGTATCGGGCTACCTGGAACCAAGAGGAAATCCAGTGAGCTGGGTTTAAGAGTGAAAATAGGAATATATTCACTTAATGTGGTGAAATTTAATGCATGTGTAATTGGCTCCAAAGGAGGGCTGCAAGAAGACTGAAAATTGAGTTAGGAACTTACCATTTTTACCTAATTTTCCATTAGCTCTGGAAATTTGTTTCCCATACTGTTTTTTGATCTCCTACCCTCTTCTAATTTCTATGCCTTTATTTTACAGTCTTCCTTTAACTTAAATATGGAACACAACCGTGAAAACCAGCAAAACTGCTAAAGGTACCTGTTACATAATACTTTCTTCTAGCATTTGACCCAAAGGTAGTTATACATATGAGTCTATATTTACCTATTTAACCTCTTGTTTCTCTAGGGTCCAAACTGGTATACTTTCCTTAAGTAAAAATAAACAATACAGTTTTCCCTCAGTTAATTCTTATTCTACATTCATCTAACTCTCTAATTCATCACCAATTTACAGTATAATTTTTTATTGTAAAAAATTTAAATCATAAAACAAGCAAAACATTAGATGAAATTTGAAGGAACAGATTGAGATTTAATACTAGTAGATCACAAAGACTAGAAATAAGCAAGCTTTGTGAAAGTTGAGAGGAAATTTCAGGAAGGTTTTGAGTAATACTCAAGGCAAGTCATATCTGGCAAAAGAGAAGACAGTGATGCATAACAGAATTGTGTGATGTGAATATATCACAAACATGAGCCAGTTCTCTGACCAGTCCCTTTCTGTCCTTAGCCCTAACCCCCCATCCACTGCAGCGCTGACCTTGTTGGACACAGTACACACTGTTAAAATTGACTTTATCTGGAAACACGAGCCAGGATCACCACTAAACCAAACCTGTTATCATACAATAGAAATCTTGGCTCACTGCTTACGTGTGTTTGGTACTTCAGAAATTTAGATTTCTTTCCATCTGACAAGAAATCATTTTAGTTCAATAATGCTTGATCTACTCAGTTCTCTGTTGAGCTGTTCCCATGTTTTGGACATCTGTGGTGCACTCAGTGAGGAAAGCTCATGGATTGTCTCTGTGGACTAGAGGAAGGAACCAGCATGCTTCCAAAGCCCACAGTGAAAATGATGTATGTCCAAATAATATATTTTGAAGGATGAAGTGAAGTAAGGATGGTTTTCTTTTAAAAAGCATTACACTTTTTGCAAGTCATAAGTCTATGAACATTTCCTTCTTTGGTGTTCTACCTTTTATTGGTTTCCTGCTTTCTTTAAACACATTAATCACTATTATTTTAAATTTAAATGAAGAGGTTGTCCTGTTTAAATTGTAGTCTTTGCCCAGCATTATTGGGATGTCTCCTATTAATAAGAGCAAATAGAAAGGTACTTACAAATTCCTTGTACAGTTCTGAAGAGAGGAGACTGATGTGGCTTGACAGAATGGTCGCACGATTAAGCAGTTTCGAGATGGTCATGTTGGAGCCAGTGCTAGTGGTATAATTAGACTGAGAGGCCGCATTTTTCCACAGTAGCAGGCTTGACATCAGCAGCAGCATTGTAAGTGACCCTGGTTAAACCAAGACACGCACTTCTCTTGATAATCAGATTTCCAAAGTCTCTACAGGTAACCCTTATTTTGGAATCTTAACCCTCCTGGCTCTCTAATTTGGTTCTCTAATTTCCTGGGACTGGAAGACTTGGCACCATTCACTACACTTACATAGACACATGCATGGAGACAGAGTTGGAAAACTGAGGGACTTCCTGCTTTTTTATGTTTCTCCCAGGAGTGTTCTGTAGTTTGCAAACTATAGGAACTTAGGTTAATTATGGTAAGGACTGCCTAGCCACCTGTTAACATAGCTCAGTTTGGAGAGAGTTTCTGTAGATTTCAAGCTGTCAGGCACTGTAGGAGCTTAAAATTCTTTCACTCACTATCTGATGTTTGTATTTCACACACTGACATGATACCTACACCACAATGCACTTGTTTCTTTTATTTTCGTGCTTTTGAAGAAAACATATGTGCTTGCTAGTACTCAGAAAGAACAGAATCCTGTTATAAAAATGGTGGCATGAATAGGAATGTTTTACTCACTATAAAAATCTGATGCATTTGCTAGAAAGTGCCAGATGTTTTAGATACTATTTTTAATTTGGGTTTTACAATAACCATGGGAGAGAGAATGTGCCTTCATTGTAAACAGCGTCGAATTATGCAGAGGAATCACAGGGTAAGTGACTTTCCACACTCTGTTATTACCAGGCAGGAGAGGCAGCATACTGATGTTGTGGTCCTTGCACTTGCGTCATGCACACCTGTGGGACTCTAGGCTGCACCTGTGCCACAGGGACCGTTACAGGGTTTGTTATTATATCTTATGACAAACTCCTCTGTGCTAGGGTGGTGAGTGACAGGGATGCTCAGAAGTTTAACTGTATCCACTTCCTCCACTCTACATAACTCTCACATCACAATCTTTCACAGTGATCAGAGGCGGGTCTGAAGGAATGGTGTAGAGCACTAGCATAGCAATAATTGTCAACCCCAAAAGGAAAAAGAGAGCAGGCAGCTACAAAATTAAAAATACTTTTTACCTTCAGCAATGCTATTCCAAGAAAATTGCTTATGTTAAAGTTTTATCATCAAGAAACTGAATTCTAATAAATTTTGATAAATGAAGATGGAATTCTGCAAGGTAAATCTAGACAAGTATTATAGATTTATATATGAATAATTACTCAGGTAAATATGTAAAGAAATAAAGAGACAAATATAAATATATTTGTTTCGATGTTGAACTAAATAACAACTGATTTGTAAAATTAAAACAACATGCAGTCATTCATATGTTATAGTTTTAGTTTTCCATATACAGTTTTAGTATATAATATCACTAATTGCAATGATTCAAAAACGTAAATGTGTGCTTGTTATACTAATATATTAGTATAACTGACATACTAATATATTAATATAATAAAGTTTCATTAGGTCGACCAAAGCCAAATGCAAAATTTTATGTGGATTTGTAATAGAAAATTGCCTTAGAGATGGGGAAACTGAGTTGGAACTTTAAGAAGCTCATCACTGAATACATGCACTTACCATTAGCACATGTATTTGTCATCAGAGAGTTTTACAGTCTGCAATAAGCAGATTAATACATTTCTTCTTCATATCATAAGTATTTTATGACTAATTCTTATTTATTTTTCTGACAAAGTCACTTACTCAGTGCAATTATTTAACACTGTCCTGCTTTTCCTTTTGAATGGACATTGTACAAACTAATAAAACCAAGTAAGATACACCACTGCCATCACTGTCAGATTGTGGCTTCAGAAATGAAAGTTTCATTAGGTTGACCAAAGTCACATAATTCACAAAATGAACCTGAGAACCAGAAAGCTTAGGTTCTGCCTTTTGATGTTGAAAGGATTGGACTCAATGACTTGCGGTCTTATGCTAGTCCAGAGTTCTCCAATCTCACCATTGCTGGCTTTTGAGCTACATGATTTCTTGTTCTGGAATCCGTTCTTAGCAGTCCCCTGTCCTCCACCTCATAGACACCAGAAGCTCCCTCACTGTTCCACTTGCTCCTGCATTAATGCAAAAGTCTCCAAAGATAGCCACGTGTCAAAAACTAGCAGGATTCTACCACTGGAGGACCTCAGAAATGTTCTCTTGTGTCCTGTGCAGGTGCTTTCCAGGGCAACATTTGGGTGGTTCTTCCTAACCATATAAACCTGGCAACTCTTGCCATTAGCTACATTTTCACACCAACCCATGAAGGATGGTAGTAAAGCCAGCACTTATTGCTTGTTACACATACCTGTCACGTTGGCATTCATGGTGATGATCAGGACAGGAAGCACACGTGAATGGAGTAGGCCTGGCTGTCCCTGGTCCAAATTCAGACGTTGGTTCTGAACCTTTGAAGAATTCATAAACATATTTGATCAGAGATTCTCTTCCCTCTACATAGTGCTCTATATGTCTCATAGCCTCCATAGTTTCCAGTATCAAATAGTATTGTATTTCTTTTTCATAATCAGGAAGATATAGGAATACCTGTATCTCAAATGCTGCTGTTCACACACCACTTCACAAACGAAGGTTTTGGCAAAATTTTGCTTCCCTTCGCATTCTCCACATTGCGGGACAAAGCAAGCACAGCCACCATCCCTCATACAAATACAAACAGATCTCTTTCCCAAAATCATAAAATAAATTACATTCATACCCCAAGGAACCACTGCATGTGAGCTAGAAACAGATTTTAATTAAATTAAATTAAATTAAAATGTTAAAAATAATGAAGGAGAGAAGTAGGGACCACTTTTGGTTAGAAGATTTCAGATTTTTGAAGTCATTTACTTTGAAATTTAATCTCTATAATATCTTAATGTATTACTTAGAAATTACTTTCCTTTAATATAAATCAGAAGGTTTCTCATTCAAAATTACTGGAGGAATTAAAGCTTTCTACATGTATACACTTACATTAGGAGATATATAGCATAAATACTATAAAAGATGAATTTCCCATCGTCTGGAATATATTGCTTTGATTTCTCTCATTTTCCCTTGATTTTGCACATTCTATGTTGTTCAATTTAAAATGACATTTTAATGCTAATTTATTTCATAGGATATATTTTCATCTTAATGTTTCTTTTTTATTTTAAAATGAAAAACATAAAAATGGTATAGACATTCAAAACAACATAATAAGAAATTAACAATGGTTAATACATTGTGCATTGTTATCTTGTAAGTAGTTGCTCAGATTACACGTATAAGCAAAAAATGATCAAACAATGAAAGCACAAACTGTTCTTTTTGAAGAACTAACAAAGTAATAATGTGATAATCTTGTATATATGTGTGTGTATATACATATATAATATATTTCCACTTCTTTCTTTTCTCCCTTGTTCTTTCCCTTTGAGCAGTTTCTTCCCCTTTCACTTTCACAATATCTATTGTGCATTTTGGATCTTACTTATTCTTTCAGGGTTTTCTTAATACAATGGAGTACTACTCACCTACATAGAAGGGCAAATTCAAGGTTTTTCTCCAGTAAACGGATGCAACTGGAGACCATCCTCACAAGTGACATAAATCAGACTCACACATGTAACGTCATATTGTTTCCCTAGTGTAAAAAATTTAAAATTCATGTTGCTTTTGATTTTAGCATGTACATAAATTTGTGTTATCAACTCTAGCTTACAGATGAAGAAACAGTTTGGAGTAATTAAATGGAAGCTATATAAATTATTCTATTTTGAAGGTGGGTGCCACAAGAATGATTACAAGAAGAACTGGGATAGACTCCAACAAGGTAAGTAAATAAATATTTTAGTCACCTTTTTGTTGTCTTTCTGAGACAAGGTTTTGCTATGGAGTTCAAATTGGCCTCAAAACCACAGCTATCCTCCTGTCTGAGTTTCCCAAATCCTGGGATTATGGGTGTGTGCCACCACACCAAGCAGGAAATTAACATTTTAAAGTATATTAATGCACACAGATACCTAAGATGTGCCCAGTATCGCCTTTGAACACAGAGTTTGGAAAGGTTTTAAAGTCAAGCGGACACACAGGCACACACATACTCAAACCTACACGGTAGACGAAGTAATGAACACAGATGCCAGCCTGTTACTTCCACTCCTCCCAAGGACACAGGTGGAAAAAACGTAATTAACGTAGATCAGTTTGCACCCTGAATAGTCATGAATTCACCATCATGCTCTCTAAATTTTACTTCCATGCATTTATGACTGTTCTTTTCTGTTTTATTAACTGAAATTATATAGATAGTGAGGTAATTTATAAAATAGTCTCTCCTAAGGCATTTCTTTTTGCCAGCATTGTTAATAGCACATACCTACATTGTCAAAGATCTGACTAGAAAACTTGAAGTCTTTGTAACCTGAACTTCTAATCATTGTGCCTCAAAGCACTATTGAATTTCAAATCTTAAACACTGAATATGGTGATTCATTGGCTCTGTCAATCTGTATCCTAGGATTGTTTTGTATACATTTGTAACCAGTAGCTACTGTTTTCCTTGGATGAAGAAAGTCTGAATTATTAAGAAAAAGAAGCTGGGTTATAGAGAAATGAATACAGTATTGCATCCCTTCCTCTCAAAATGGCAAGAGTAAGAAAATCTGCCTGACATTAGGGGCTGGGAATGTAGCTCAAACACCCAGGGCCTGTTTAGCAAGTGTGAGATTGTGAGTTCAATTCCCAGTACTAAAACAAAGCAAGACAAAATAAAACACTGACATTGACAGTTTCATTAAAATAAATGTTACAGCATTTTAGATAGCCAGGAGAAGAGCAGTCTAAGAAAACTCAAGTCCTGTGTATTCCCAGGATTCTCGGGAGCCTTCTGACTCATAGGACCACAGAGGTACAATTCTCAATATAATGCATTATAAGCTTCCTTGCTGCTCTGGAGCCCATGTTTCCTGTGAACATGCTATTGAAATGTCTAAACAAACCCAAAAGCTTTTTACACACAAGTTGTATTTGCCCTATTTTTCTGCTTTCACCACTTTCACCTCAATATTCTATGTGCTCTCTGCTGGACCTTTCTCTTTATCAAATTATGTTGTTAAAACAGTGAAGAAATTCACTAAGGTTGGTTTCATCTGCTTTTATGAAGAGAACTCCCTTTGTACACCATATTTTTTTTTTATCGGTACCGGGAATCGAACTCATGAGCGCCTGCTTGCAAGGCAGGTGTTTATACCGTGTTCACCGTATTTGATCTCCTAGATCATGATTGAACAGGGCATTGATGACTAGGTTTTGCAAATAGCTGAATAAGTAGTTCAAATGATTGTAAATTTCTCATGCTATTTTTTGTAAATAAGATTAATAAGTTGTTTTGTCATCTGATATATATACATACATATATATATATATATATATAGACTCTGTTTTTAACACTGAAAGTTATACAATTGGTTTATGTGAATACATGAATACTTCAGAATAGAACTTATATTTTATGTATAATTTTTTACGTATTCACATTGAAATTTTGAATAATTTAATTTTTCTCTATCCTTTATGATATAATTCACATATAAAAAGCATCACATAAGTTAAAAACTGTCTACTGTAAGATGCAGTGAGGGTCTTAAAAGGGTAGATAAATTAAAGTTTTTAAAATCTGCAAAATAAACGCATCACAAGGATACTTAAATTATATTGCTAGTAAGTTGCTTTTAATAAAGTAAAATTTGCAAATGATTAAAGGTATATTTTATACTCAATTACAAATTTAAAATTATCATCTTTCAGAATCTGAGCTGAAATTTCAAATAGAATATGTCACTTTCAGTAGAATATGAAAGACTCAAAGGACACACTGGAGAGAGGCTCACTGGGGTATTGTCAAAATTTTCAAAATAAGCAATTTGCAAAATAATCAAATTGTAATGATTTGGCACATCACATTATTTAGGTTAACAATGCATTTTAAGATATTTTGTTCAGAAGTGACCATGCTCAAAGCTGGACTTCTGCTAAGAAATAGGAGATCATCACTTTCTCGTTCTTTGGGACCCAAATTCTTATTCTATTCCAGAACCTTGAAGGCTTTTGTTGCTTAAGTGTGAAAATTCAGTGGAAGCATTTGGAAACATTCTATAGTGCTTTAACATCTATAAGTCGTCTATTTATGTTCCTATAACATTAGGTATCACTGTAGCGTGTGCATGTTGCTACCTTATCTTATTCTTGATACATTTACTCATACACTGATCCTCCATCCACACATTTATCAATACATGTGTCTGAACATCTGTTGCTACACAAATTCATCCGTTCATTCATCCAACTACCATCCTTCCGTTATAGTTATCTAACAGGTAATGAGACACTGCATCATGCCTAGTTCCAGGAGATAACTTTCAAAATTACTTCCCAAGAATGTAACTATCACAGGCACCACCTAATAAAATAGGTTATTCACAGCCAAAGATCAGAGCTCCTGAGGTCCCCAGAGGTAACTGGTATTAATTCTGTGTTTTCTATACTAGCCATACATTGGACACGGACTAAGAGTTTTTAGCCTGCTGGCTTTCTATACTATGGCATCTCAAGAGAGGAGTTGAAACAATCTATGAAAATCAAAGCCTTTTGGAGGCCTAAGGAAAAAACTGTGCTGATATAAACAGACAAATGTTTAGGGTATTTTTTCATAAAAGTATATATTTGTTGACACATGGAAATACCTGCCTTCCTATACTGCTAAAATTTTGCATACATAGAAATAGTCCTGAGTGAGAAATAGGGATTTTTTAAAGTACAAATGCTACATCTAATTTTTATACATGCACCGCATTTTCCAATATATTTCTTTATTATAAGCTGTCAGAAAAATCTTTGTTATGTCAAAAGTATTTATCATTTACCATTTTTTATTTTTTAAATATACCATGTCAAATTAGGGCAATATTTGTATACATAGACATTACCTGCAGTGATAATTTATTGGTAAAACTTCTTACTTTTGCAGGTGATATGGTAGGAGAAAATGGATATATTCTTGAAGAATTTATTTCTTAATAAAATAATCTATCAAAACATCAAAATTTAAAATGATAATCTTTTGTGTTTCAAGATTATGAGGAATACACATAGATAAGACAGATCACCAGAATGCTAGCTTTTCTTGATTATAATTAAGCAAATAAAAATTAAATATTTTGATAAAAGCTTTGAAAATCAAAACTATGATACAATTTGGAAATAAGTATGATCATGTTATTTTCTCATGGTGTATATCTGTGATTCAATCAATATTGTCAGAAAAATTATTATTATCTTAACAGGATAGGAGTTCTTTAGGACCGAATCAACATAATATATATTAAGCACACAGAAAGGTAAAATTATTCAAGTAGTTACATGATTTGGGCTTACAGTA